GGGCTGGCAGAACGTTGGATAAGTGAAAACATTGGATAATAAGGAGGGATTAAGGAAAAGCCTATTAAACATCAAATTACATTATGATTTTACAAATTAAGCACCAAAACATCATGTTTTCCAACAAATCGACAGAAAAAGCACTTCAATACACGGTCATGTTATGTAGTAATTACTGTATTTACAAATTTGGCACCAAAACATCGCAATGTATTGAAACAGCTGTGGATCTGGGCGGGAGGCAGACTGCATTGGATAATACGTTGGATGAGTGAAGGCTGGATAAGCCAGACTCTACCATACTTTCATTTTAAAGTTTTGCTGCAATGTAGAATTCTGAATGAATACTGAAGTACAACTGTAGTGCAACAAAATGCAAGTCAGTCTTCAAAAGGAAAATTTCTGCATACATTTTTTAATGATAGCAGTGATGTTTCTATTACAATAACGTATATACATTATTTGTTATACAGAGGAAGAAAAAATTAAATAAGCAATTGAAATAAATGAATAAATTAAACAAACTGAAGGAGCCTCCTCAATTAGGCAATAACTCAAAAATCGATGCCAAAATTTTGTAGAGAAAAAAAAATCCAATTTACTTTAATAGGCAAGCATTTACATCACTATAAATCTCTGCTGGACTATAATGTATTTTCTGAACCGTGGCCTTGAGTGCAGAGTGTCTGGGGAAGCATTGCTAAGGACTATTCTGTCCAAAATATTCCCACTGTTAGAAGTACGGGAGGGCGTTTTTGCTGATCTTCCTCGGTCTCTGCAGTCTCTAGTACTAACTCCTACTCTGTGTCAGAAAGCTTCTACCCCCCACAATTATCTGGAGCAGATTTTCAAGGGACACAGGAGACTATAAGGACAGGGGAGAGGATTAGAAAGATTTCCTCCTTATCAGTCAGACCAGCAGAAAAACTTCACTGGATCAAAAGCCTCTTACTGACAGAAGAAATCTTTCATCTGTTGGATAGTTTCACTGGATCCAACCCACCGAATATTGAGATAGTCTAACAAAAGGTATGACAAAAGTTTATGATACTGAAATGTATTTAGCAGACACCTTCCAGTCACTGATGAGAAGCAATTTCAGAAGGTCATTCCAAATTGTCAAGAAGCCATCTCCCATCTGTGCACTAATTTCGCAGCTTTTAAATGATCGTAAGCAACAGTCTCCACTGTTTTCAACCAGTGGGATACTTTTCTTGCAAAAATGACAATTAATAATTGAAAAGACGGTTTAAATCTGAATCGATTTATTAATTTGGCTGGCAGTCCAGCAAAATTCTGTGGTTTCATAATAAAAGAGTGCAATATAATCATGATAAACGAGTTAAACATTTAAGGTGACACGTCTTTTCCTCCGTAAATGATTATTTTACATATTTTATCTATTTTCAGAAAAACTAATAAGACTTTTTGGTTATTTTTGCATTATCAGGACAAGAACACTTTGACAGTTTCAATTTTCAAAATTCAATGGGCAGGAAATATAATGTAACAAAAACCTTTAGCATGTAACACCCATGAAATCTTTGTTATCGGCAACACATTATATGGAATTATTTGACTACAATCCAACTGTAACACATTTAAACTTTAATATAGCTTGACTAAAAATACTTGCATACTATTGTGCATGCTGCCCATTTGTTTCACTAACTGTAGTCTTTATATCAGCTGTGGGCAAGCTTGGGCCCACCAGGTGTTTTGAACTTCAACTCCCATGATTCCTAACAGCCTCAAAAACCCCTTCTTTTCCCCCCTCAGACGCTTAGATATATAACTAGATCTTGGCTTCAGGAAATTAGAAACTAGGTGCAGTATTATAGTCATTAATTTCTTACACTACATCAACCATGTGTCTCTTCTGTGTAATTATGGTAAACCTGGGTTATGGTAAAAAGGGAAACCCTTATTCTTGGATGTAATGAGAGATCTCAAACTACACTTGCAGCATACTTGTTTTTCACTTTACTAGGTAAGGAATTTTCACATGTACAGTATACTTAAACAGAAAGGAGGAAGGCAGAAAGAAAGAATGAATGTGTATGTTCGGAAGCAGGGAGGACACATGGTCCTTAAACCTGATCTAGAGCCATAAATTCTGCTGTGGGTTCTTTGTCTTCAGACTAAAAACTATGATGTGGGCAGAAAGGAAGAAAGCCAGGATTTGTACTTCTTTCTTCAATATATGTTCTTATTTAACAAGATAACAAGGCAATCCATTCCAGACTTGTATTTAAAGTTATGGTGTAACACATCCATCACAGAAAACAGAAGTATTTGTGTCAGTGAACAACAGTATCAAAATATCTAAATCCCTAAATAGTACCAAAAATATTGTCTTGACCTTCTTGACAACACAACTTTCATATAAAAGATAAAGAGCCTTTAAAAATCTAATTCTTTCCATGGATAATAAAGAATAACAAAGGAGCTGCCTATAAAATGCAATTGAATTAAAACATAATCCATTATAGATTACAAGAGTGTTTTTCTGCATGCTAAATGTTAACTATAACGAAACTAGGAAAAAACCTATTTAGATGATAGCAAGGGAATACCAGAGTTATCCAGAAAGTAAGGTTACAAGATTTTTAAAAAAAATAATACAAGAATGAATATATTTTAATAAAACCTACATGGATTGTAGCATAGGTGTTACATTATTTTTTCCACATAATCACCATTCAATTCAATACATTTTGTCATCCTTGGGACAGGTTTTTGATGCTTGTGTCATAGAAGTTTTCCTCAGCCTTTTTCAGCCAGTTCATCACTTCGATTTTCACCTCCTCCTCGTCAGAAAAGTGTTTTCCACCAAGGTGTTCCTTCAATTTAGTGAACAGATGATAGTCACTGGATGTGAAATCGGGGCTGTGAGAGGGGTGGCTTAAAACATCCCAACCAAATGAAGTCAACAACTCTTGTATTGCATGAGTGGTGTGCAGACGCGCATAGTCATGAACGAGACAGACTCCCACCGTCAGCATCCCACAATGTTTGTTTAGGATGACTTTGGGAAGTTTCTTCATGGTCGCACAATATATTCTGTACCCATATTGTCACATGCTGTCTTGACATTACGTCCGCTCCATAAACTGAAATGATTTTGCGATGAATCTCAGCGGTGTTCATGCCCTTAGCATTTAGGTAGCGTATTACAGCACGAACTTTGCACTTGGAAGGAAACGGAATGAGAACGCTCATCTCTAACCTTCACCACAATGCCAGTTGAAGAGCTACTGATGATTATCATTCTTTGTTCACTTCCGCTGGCTTCCCGCTACAAGGCAGTAATATCAACTTCCCCCGAGAAAATTCCCCACGAGAGTTATGTGCCTTGTAACCTTACTTTCCAGATAACGCTCGTAAATATACTTTTCTTTCAATAGAAAACTCAATACTGGTAGGCCAGTTCAAGACTATATATATTGGAGCAGAAAAAAAATGGTAAAAAATGCTATGCAGGTTTGAAAATTAAGTGTTCCTTTACTGCTAATATAGAAATTCACAAATGTAAGCAGGAGTAAAATGGCTCATTTTCAAAAATATGCAAAATATCTGCTCTTAATCTGAGTGACAAGTCATCCACTTATATCATCAAAAAGCACACAATTTACAGTACTAAAATAGGTTATTTTGTAATAGACAAGAACAGAATTTATGAACCTATCAAACTCATTGCAGTAGCCCTATCTATACACACAATTCAACAAAGACTCATACATTTCAGATGAGCAGCCACAATGGCTAGAGTCGTTGATATGTTTCAGAAAAAAATGGGTGATTTTCACTTGAATTATCGTCAAGATTTCTTTATCAAGCATGTAGGTTGCATACATAGCTCTCACTATGTGATTGGCATATAATTTCCATCATATGTCAAGCATCTCTTTAAAAAGGGAGTGGGAAAAGGAACACTGAATCCTGATTCCCTTCTCTCGTTTCAAAGAGGTTGATATTATTTAAACTGGCAGACAGATAATCTTCCAGGCGACTTGCAATTAAAACATACTCTCATGTTTCAGGATCTCGCTACAGAAATCCTGATTTTTTTTATAATTGAAACTAGTTCCCCATTTTGGAACGACAGTAGCATATGGCAAGTCAACTTTGCTTCAGTTGAATGTGCTTTAGTGCAACATTATAAAACATTTTAAAATACATTTGAAAAGTTCAGCCCTTCTATACATAATATTGTATATACTGAGCAGCCTGAATTTTTTTTAACCAAAGGCTACTTCTAGCTTATTTTCACGACTTCAAAACTGTAATTGGCCTCTTGCCTTCCATTATTCCATCACTTAAAGACTAAGATGGATGCTACTCCTACATGTCAACAACTCAATACTTCAAGTACAGATTGTAACCTACTCTAAACTACAATACCCACGGACAACAGGGCATTATCAGACAGTCCACCAAGGACTGGGAATGTTCAATGGAGTCGAGGAATCAGAAATTGGGAGAAGAACTCAACCAACTGTCTTGGAAAAGGCATAACTGGCTAACACACTAAACATGAGAATAACACACTGTAAAATTTTGTTGCTGGTTAAAAATCACCTGGAAGGTAACAGAAAGAAGTCCTTTAAATCTGTTATTTGTATTACAAGTCCCCTAGAAAGCACAGCAATAAAACTATGAAATAGTTTCCAAGGACAACACTTTAAAATTCATAAAACAGGCATTCTACATTTCATGTAGTTTTAGAAAATGCTATCACTTAAATACACAGGTGAGACCCGCATGCAAAAGAAACAGCCACACTTGTGGGGCTAAACAGATTTGCTGCAGTCGATGCCACTAGCAAAGAGACCAAAACGGTTGAAACAGCACTAGTAAAAGAGAAAGCAAAGACAGTTCCTTGCATAGCACCTCCAACGCCATACTCCTGCCCAAATGCCCCTTTCTTTGTATGCATAGGCCCATACAGGACAGTACATGACTTTTACTTAATAAGGATTTGCGAATGGAAGCTGTACCTATGCGCAAATGGCAATGCATTCTGGGTTGGTTCAGCCCTTGGTTCTGAGTTTTGAGTCACTTCAGGGGTAGTTCTTTCATCATCTGTCCCATTAATGCTCTCAGGCGTAAGAGGAGACTGAATCTCACCTGCAGATTCCTTAAAGAAAACGCGTAATGGTTACAAATTGAATTTTCTACATACCATATTCTCAAACAAATAAAATATTATTTCTCCCACTCTGGACATTCCACAGATATATAAACCCAATTTTCCTAGTTTCCAATAGACCTCACAACCTCTGAAGATGCCTGCCATAGATGCGGGTGAAACCTCAGGAGAGAATGATTCTAGAACATGGCCATACAGCCCAGAAAACCTACAACAACCCAGTGATTCCAGCCATGAAAAACCTTCAACAATACCTTCAACAATAAAAAATATAGTTTGATAGCTATTGTGCACTTCATAGTCACCCTGGAGAAAGCAGCAATATACCCCAATATAACTTCAATTAATAGAAGTGAGAAAATGATTTTTTGTGTGTGTCAGGAGTGACTTCAGAAACTGCAAGTCGCTTCTGGTGTGAGAGAATTGGCTGTCTGCAAGGATGTTGCCCAGGGGATGCCTGGATGTTTTACCATCCCATGGGAGGCTTCTCTCATGTCTCTGCATGAGAAGCTGGAGCTGACAGACGGGAGCTCACGCCGCTCCCCAGATTCAAACTGGTGACCTTTCGGTCAGCAGTCCGGCCAGCACAAGGGTTTAACCCATTGCACCACTGGGGGCTCTAGAAAATGAAATGACAAGGTTCTTGTGGGTTTTTTCGGGCTATAGGGTCATGTTCTAGAGGCATTTCTCCTGACATTTCGCCTGCATCTATGGCAAGCATAGTGAGGTCTCACTACCTCTGAGGATGCTTGCCATAGATGCAGGCGAAACGTCAGGAGAAATGCCTCTAGAACATGACCCTATAGCCCGAAAAAACCCACAAGAACCTAGTGATTCCAGCCATGAAAGCCTTCGACAATACAAATGAAATGACAACTAGAAATCCATGAAATGCCTTCCTGATATCCCATCTATTCATCCAGTCAGTATACCACTGGGAAAAAGCAGTTCGGCTGCACATTACAGTGCTCAAACTACAACAGTTTACATTTGTTGCCTTTAATGTGTTGAAATAGTTATGTAATAGGTATAAAGTCAAGTAATTATTCCAGAATCAAGTGGAAATGATATTTTATACATCAGCTTAAGAGCAGGAGTAGTGTATCAGATTTATGAATATCAGAAATCACATGAATATGAGGAACCCACTCACACGGTGTATGTAGTGTGTTTGACTTCAACTCTTACATATCAGGCTGTCACAGTATATATATATTTAACCAAGGGAGATCAAAAACCTGTCACACTTGAATTAAAAATCTTATTAGCTGGAAAATTCTTTTCCCTCTAGCTGCAGCATATTTAATATACCTTATCACCTACATACACACACCTATATCTGTGCCTGAGAACTCTTGTAGTTCATCTGTTTAGGTTACATGAATTCAGCCAAAAGTTACAAGTCAATATTTCTTTTACTAACTGAAATATATTTAGAGATTGGGAATGCAGAGCTCACCTGGCAGAAATATATATATATATTTGATGCTGTCAAAGATGACTGTGCTAGTTATCAGTTCCACATGCTATTTAACAATGAATAGAGTTAATAGATGAAAATATTTTAGATAAAAAGGAAAGTTCTCTAGTGTTAGCAACTCAAATTGCATATGCACTTCACCGGGTCCCTTCATGACTTCTGTCACTCACTGTCCTTTAAAGCAATGTGATTCAGGTTAGGGCAGCTTGCTTTAATGTAGCATCCAGAGTATTGCCAACACCTTGACTTGCTAAAACTTGGCACAAAGGTACTCTTGTCACAAAGGGGTCACCTGAACCAGACAAGCAGAACAGAAAATGAATGACATCTGACTTCCAAATAGATCTGAATGAAAAGTATGATTCTGTGCTGTTGGGACTGCAACTTCCAGAAGTGCTAGCCAGCAGAGTCAATGCTGAGGGATTGTGGGAATGACAGCACTGCTCACAAGTCTAACTCACATGGATGGTTGAATAGACTTCAATATTTATATGGCTTTAGCTTTAAGTGTGGAATTCCATATGTGGTTTTAGGACTCTTTATCAGTATTGGAGCAGCTATTATATAGTTGTTAGCAGACTGTATATCTTTATAAGCGGTGTTACACTACCATATTGCATTTCCTGTATGCTGATGTCAATGTTGTTTTGTATTATATACTGGCTTACCAGGATTTTGTTGATTTAGCATTTACAACATTGTCACATGTTTGTTTTATATCTTTGTCACATGTTTCTTTAAGTTGTCATATATTGCTATACTAGCTGTCCCCTACCACACGTTACTGTGGCCCAGTCTGTGTATACGTGTTGTCGAAGGCTTTCATGGCTGGAATCACTGGGTTGTTGTAGGTTTTTCGGGCTATATGGCCACGTTCTAGAGGCATTCTCTCCTGACATTTCACCTGCATCTATTGCAAGCATCCTCAGAGGTAGTTATACCCCCCCCCCCCCATCCTGAAAGGATAAGGGGGTATAAAAAGCTGACAGATATAAAAAATATAAAGGATCAATTTCAAGTGGTTATTCATAATTATATATTACAATGTAAATTGTAATTGTAAAGAATAACAGCAGCGAAGTTATAACGCTTCTGGCAAAATTAACCTGAAATTGCAGCTCTGCAAATTGCAGTATGTATTTAGAAACACATTTTTGTCACCCATTTTGCAATGGCTTTTAGATTTCGCCTGAATATAGACTAATAAAATTGCTGCGATTTTTTTTCCACACAAAGAAATATATTGCATTAAAATAGAAATGACCTCTATTATAATATTTTCACACAGATGAGCAGATTACTACATATGAAAAAGGTGAGATATAGTACACAATACATATGTAATGTAATGGTGGCTTTCACCCAGAATCTTTGGAGAAAAAAATCAATGAAAAATAGATGGAGACAAGATAACTACAACCCTCTCTCTCACACACACAAACCTTATGATAGGACAAATAAAAAAGTAAAGGTTTCCCCTTGACATTAAGTCTAGTCGTGCCCGATTCTGGGGGGGTGGTGCTCATCTCCATTTCTAAGCTGTAGATGACGTCTCCAAGGTCATGTGGCCGTCATGACTTCATGGAGCGCCTTTACCTTCCTGCTATTCATTTACTCACATTTTCATGTTTTTGATCTGCTAGGGTGGCAGAAGCTGGGGATAACAGCAGGAGCTTACCCCGCTCTCCGGATTCAAACTGCCAACCATTCAGTCAGCAAGTTCAGCAGCTCAGTGGTTTAACCTGCTGCACCACTGGGGGGCTTCTATCTATCTATCTATCTATCTATCTATCTATCTATCTATCTATCTATCTATCTATCTATAACTCGTTTTGGATGTAGGGGGTGCTGGTGGTTTGATTCTAAAGTCAATTCCGATTTTCACAGAAAAAAATGTTCAAAACTTTTCAAAACTTCTGAGACTTCCAAATCCTTTCTTAATGGTTTGAAAGTGTTATTTCCTGTTTCATTGGGTGGTCTTTACTTTGAAAGTAGTTGTTTTACTCCAGAAGCGGGAGGGGGGGGTCAGGGGGGAGCAAAGGGAGGAAATTCATCCACTCTGGTTTAAAATGGCTTCCCAAGCTTGAGCCGAGGCCAGGGACCAGAAGTGGGGAAATGCTGAATCATTTCCGACTCACTTACTGCTTCGTAACAGAAATGGCGGGAAAAGCTTCGAAAGGGGAAAGGAACTTCCGGTTTCATTAAAAATTTGGAAATTGCTTCAAAAATCAAATCTTTCCGAATTTATTCCAAACTACGAAGATTCCGACTGAACCTAACCATGCCTAATATCTAGGACAACTATGGGAAAACAGAATGGAATGTTGAAAACACACATATGAGAATTCTAGAAATTCTAGATTCCACAGACTATGTGAGCCAACCAAATATGCAGGTTCATATTTGGTAGTTCATTCAAAATTTCAAGCTTCTTAAGCCATAAACATGATCTAAGGGAATTGCCAATAATACAAGGAAGAGTCTACTCTTTGAAATACTTGGGTAGTTACAAGGATGTAAAGTAGGAATGAACATTCATTCACTTACTTCATTTCCATCTTTAGCTTTCAACTTCTGAAATTGACTGGTTCCCTCTTATCATCTTGTTGATTTATACTTAACTGCAGTGCTTCTCAAGATTCAAGATGAGGGAACCTAGCTATTTCCCCTTAATGTACTATGCTTTGGCACCATTTTTGTGGCCATTGGCTATAACTGTTTCTCTTTTCCCCCTGAAAACCTATTAACAACCAGCAGTCAAAGTCTTGGGAACTTGCACTGGTCTATGGATCACCTTGAGCAGTACAATGGTTTACTCCTTCTTCAGCTATATATACATGATCAGCCCTACAAAACTGCAGATCCTCAAAGCAGTCTCAAACATATAATAAATTATGCCATGCATAGAACTGAAACCATATGTGGACAGCCATGGACCTGACTTGCCACGGGGCATGACCACTTTGACTCATTCAGCAGATGGGTCAAGGTGGTTTTTTAAAAGTTGGTAACATCCACAATGCAATCTGAAGAGAGACCAGAACATACCTGTGAGGGTGTACTTGTTAATTCCATCTTTTCCTGGGATTTCTCTTTAGCTAGCCGTGCTGCTTCTTTGAATTCCTGAAATTTTTCTGCAAACTGAAAGTAAAGACTATGATTATACACTCATTATAAACAGAATTGGCTGACCAAATGGTCCCCCATATGACTGATCTCTTGACCACTTGTTCTAGGGTATTCTGGTCATCAATAATGGTTTATAGAAAATATGTAGCAAATTACCGGGGTTAATTTTAAAGATTGTACCTTGAAGTGTTCTTAAAAATCAATCTTCCAGAATGCAGCACTGCAGGTGTGTTCTGGATTTTTGATTTACTAGTTAAATTGAGTTACTGTATGAGGACACTGATGAAGTCCAAGCTTTTTCTGAATGGTGGGAATTTTCCCCATTAACACATTGCTTTGAAGTTTTTGGATCACTTAAATGCTGGGTGGGGTTCTACTGGAGTATGAAAGAAATTGTTGTTATGGAACTGGTTAATTACTTCCACTTAATAATACCAGATTATTCTTCAACTTTCCAATATTAATCCCACTTTTTTTTTTGAAAAATATCTTGTTCATTTTTTTTGGCTGGCAAAAATCCGGTGCCGGCTGTATAACCAACCAATGGGGCAAAGGTCTGCAGTGATTGGCAGTGCAACTACAGTACAAACAATCACATCAACCTGTCAAAACCATGAAGCATTTTTTTTAGGAATGCCCATGTGGATAACCTTGTGGAATCTGTGGAACAAACACTAGGAAGAAGAACAAGACCTTGTTCATTTTTTTTTATTTTGAGGGAGAATATCTTTTTTCCCTAATCTGGCTCAATCCATTTTAAATGGGTCTTTACTTATCAACTGCTTGGACTGAATCCAAACATTTCCTTTCTCTGCCACCTCATAGAGCCAAGGAGCCTCTGAACAAAACTGTTATACATGTGGGGGAAAGCTTCACAAGATGAAATGGTGCATTGTTACCATTGGTCTTCAGTCCTCGGATAGGTTTATTCATATGTTCACTAACTGAAGGACGAGCTTGTGCATTTCCAGCTTGTTTATATGATTGCTGGAGCAGAAGAACTGTAATACTCAAAGCAATTTGTAGCTAGAATTTGCCCTGAAGCACTGTTGGGGGAATGACCCCGACACACACAGAATGCTATTAGAAACCCACAGTGCTGTTTTAGATTTGAAGAACTATAACTCAGTGAAAGAAAAAATGCTTTGCATACAGAATGTTCCAGGTTCAAGGCCTGGAATTCCTAATTTAGAGGGAGCCAGTGCCTGTAGGTTCAGCCATCTCCTAGCATCCAGACCAGTGGTTCAAAAACGGCGAGTCCCCACTGGTCTGGCCTACAAATCCCAGCCAGTTTACCAGCTGTTAATAAAATAATTGAGTTGAAAGAAATCTCATGGACCATCCAGTCCAACCCCTTGCCAAGAAGCAGGGCAACCACGTTCAAAGTACCCCAACAGATGGCCATCCAGTCTCTGTTTAAAAGCCTCCAAAAAGATGTCTCCACCACACTCCAGTGCAGAGAGTACCACTGCTGAACAGCTCTCACAGTCAGGAAGTTCTTCCTCATGTTCAGTTGCAATCACCTTTCCTGTAGTTTGAAGCCATTGTTCCGCATCCTAGTCTCCAGGACTGCAGAAAACAAGCTTGCCCCCTCCTCCCAATGCCTCCCCCCCCCACATATTTATACATGGTCACCATGTGTCCTCTCAGCCTTCTCTTCTACAAGCTAAACATGCTCAGCTCTTTTAGCCACTCCTCATAGGGCTTGTTCTCCAGACTCTTGATCATTTTAGTTGTCCTCTGGACACATTCCAGCTTGTCAACATCTCCCTTCAATTGTGGTGCCCAGAACTGGAGACAGTATTCTAGGTGTGGTCTGACCAAGGCAGAATAGAGGGGATTTCTGGGAGCTGAAGACTAAAACACCTGGGGATCCATAGGTTGAGAATCACTGCTCTAGATGTTCTGCACCACCTAGCTCTTGATCACTTGAGCTATGGGGTGGGAAGCTGCCTATCCAAACACTAAGTGAGAGCAGGTTGGGCAACACACACTGCTTCATCGATCTGAACCTCAGCTGCTCTCTGCTGTGCCCCATTCCCCCCACTTTTCTTTTCAAAAATCTCACCATACCCCCTTACTTTCTCTATGGGGTGAGGAGCAATTTCACCGCATTGGTGCCCACCAATCCCACACACAAAAAGAAGTGGCATAAAGGCAAAGTTCATTTTGCTAATCAAGGAAGCATGCCCTGGATATTGTATTTGATATTAGAGTTAGAAAGTATTATATTAATCCAATGCCATAATGAAGAAAAGATAATCTTCAGGCCCAATGATTTTCTCAATGCCTTAATGACCTAGTCAATACAAAAACCTTGCCATTGACCAATGACATTTATATTGGCCTCAATGCACCACACAAAAAGTTGGCTTCCATCTCTTTTTCTAGCATTTTATCAGAAACAGCTAAGGCACACAGAAAGGATTACAGCCAGGGGTTGCCCCACAATTCTGAGACGACCCTGCCTTAAGAGAGCAGGTTTCAAAGGCCTTTAAAGCAGGCATGGGCAAACTCCAGCCCTCCAGTGTTTTGGACTTAACTCCCACAATTCCTAACAGCCTCAGGCCCCTTCCTTTTCCTCCTCAACCGCTTAAACGGCTGAATGGGGAAAGGAAAGAGTCTGAGGCTGTTAGGAATTGTGGGAATTGAAGTCTAAAAAATTTGGAGGGCCGCAGTTTGAGGATGCCTGGACTAGAGGAAGCCCCTATTTAGAATGGCTGCCACTCTGCTCCATCTCAAGCGTCCAAAGTGGTGGGAGCACAGAGTTCATATAGTAAGTCCTATTAAAAATGGTGGCAGCTACTATGCTCATTCTCAAGCTTCCAAAAGGGCAGCCACATTATTCATTCCACATTGCTGCTGAATACCACTTAGGTGGGAAATGAAGAGAGGGAAGGAGAGAGGACTGCCTTTCTTTCTCTGGTTTGGGCAAGGGAGAGTAATGAGGTGGGAGCACTTCTTGCCTCTGCCTCTTGTCACTACCTTCAAATTGAGTCTCTGATAGAGACTGGTTGCTTTTCTTCTTCTTCTTCTCCCCTCCTTCCTTTTTTTTTCCAGGACGCATTCGTCTTCCTCATTTATATTTCTTTCCCTATCTGTATTTAAGGATCAGCAATGCAATTGAATTTATACACACACTCAACTGTAACCTATAAAAAAACAGATCCTTTTCTTTAGCTCTTTCTAAGTATGTTCCTTCTATGCCTTATTAAAAGGAGAAGAAAATATTTGTTTATTACTTGTGCTTAGGTTTTACCCTCAACTTATCCATGAGTCATGGAAAAATTCATAATGTTGGCCCACAAGCACACCCTCAACTTATACATGTGGATGACTTATACTTGAGTATATACCAGGCATGGGCAAACTTTGGCCCTCGAGGTGTCTTAGACTCCAACTCCCACAATTCCGAACAGCCTACTGCCTGTTGGGAGTTGGAGTCCAAAACACCTCGAGAGCCAAAGTTTGCCCATGCCTGGCATATATGGTAATTGAAAAATAACTTTTGGAAATCTGTTGCTTATGTCCATTTATTCCTCTCAAACCCATTTTGTTGCTGTTATGCGCCTTCAAACCAACCTGGCTAATGGGAACCCTAAGGCACAGAGTTTTCCTGGTAACATTTGTTCAGAGAGTGTTTCCCATTTCCTTCCTCTAAAGCTGAGAGAGTATAACTTCCTCTAAACCTGAGAAAGTATAACTTCGCCACGGTTGCCCAGTGGGTTTCCATGGCTGAGAAAGAATCTGAAACCTGGTTTTCCAGAGTTCTAGTCCAGCACTGAAACCACTGCATCACACTGGCTGTCATTTTGCTTTTACTAATTACTTTTGCTTTTACTGATCTGAACTCAAAGAAAACAGTGGTAATCTCAGGTTTTATTTGGATAGTCTCTTCCTTGTAGGCAGCATTTATTTATTTACTGAATCTGTATCCCAACTTTCTCCCAAAGTAAGATTCTCAAACACAGCACTCCATTTGAAATGCTATCTTGCCCATTTTTGAGTTAGTATGTCAATTACTTAACAATTCCAAGCAGTCAAAGAGTTGTGTACTTTTACTTACTTTTGACAGATGATGTTCCGAGGAAAATCCCAAGCCATAAACAGTATTTGCTCTGCTATCTGCCCACTGACCAAACTTCTGTGATGTTTTTGTGAATGTCATGTTGGGAGTGATGGTACTATTTATTATTGCCTGTACAAAAAGAAATTATGAAATGAATTAAATAATTCAGTCAGATCATCAACACACCTTGGAAACTATCTGTCCATTGTAGGATGGGGGTATAAAATTTGGGAAATAAAAGAGTATTGGAAATAGCAAACTTCTCAAGTCTCCACTAGTTGCTTGTTATGTATATAATTGCTTTCTGTATTGTATATGTGTGTATTGGTTTGCAGTTTTCTTTAACCTCTTTGTTGTGTGTGGGGGGGTGCAGACCATGTGATCAGAACTGGGCTTGTTCAGGACTCAGATTCCATTTTACATCTCAGTGTGCGTCTTTAGAAGACTGCAGGAACAGTACAGTTTAGACTTCAGTGGAGAAGTATGCCTCACACTTCAGTAGAAACAGATGTATACTTTTAGAAGTTAGTGGAAACAGATTACAGAGACTCTATTAGACTCTCAGACCTATTAGACTCTATTAGACTCTCAGATGCTTTATGCTATGGACTATTAAGATTCTATGAAATATACGCTGTGTTACCTACATAGAGAAACTTCTTCAAATCTACTTCTAACTGGATTAATATACAAAGTACCTGTATGCTGAATACATGAAGTTTGTGAGTAAACCAACTATGTTACTTTTAAAGAAGTCTACTTATTTTTGGCTCCTAAGAGCATGACTTAAAGACAAATATATTTTAAGGGAGAATAGATGTTTTGGGGCAACTAAAATGAACACATCTGAAACTCTGCTGTATATATACATTTTGTGCATTGGAATATTTTTGTCCCTAACAGTTCAAAGAGATATTTAGGATATCAGTTTAACAGCTGAGAAACTAATCGCCTTGCATGAATGGTGGGAAATGCCAGTTTTCCAAAAGGTTATGACTCTAACAGGTCATGCGTTTACCAAGAGGTTATGGCATCATTTTCAAAAAGGTGATGACTTCTAACAAGGTCATCCCTTTCCAAAGATCATAAAAGCTCCAAAGGTTCTAGAGATTTCCATTTTCCAAAAAAGAGTTCACTACACTATTCAAGGAAACATATCCCAGATACCCGAAGAGACATTGTAATTATCACAACGTGCAGAATCAGCTCCTCTTGCAAATTTCAGTAAGACCTGCAAATTATTAGTGAGATTCATTATTAATGGTGGAAAATTGTAAGACAGACGGCACCCAACCAAAACTATTACATTCTCTTTAAGTCCTATAAGGTTATTACTCTCTGAGTAACAGCCACAAGAAAGAGCAAGACTGCATCTTGCCCCCACTGCATTTGGAAATATGTGTAATGTGTTTATGACTGCCCTTCTCTGATTTAGAAACTTATGTAAATGAGAGTGTAGCAGGCTTACCCATTACAGACACTCAGGAATATTGTATTTCTGTGAAGCAGCTGTCACCTCCTCATGGGAGTAACAACTTCAAAGTAACATGGGCAACAGTGGAGAAAGGTAAAAGGTTTTATGAAAAATTTGTTTCTCACAATTTGTTGCACAAAGAGAGCAAACAGCTAAGAAGGACATTTGGATGAATTGCATTAACTGTATGGAGAAACTAGTTACAAAAGCACATTATGTTGAACTTCTGTAACTGCATCTTCCAATACAGTATTAATTTTCACTTTAAATTAGCAGCAGGAAATTCCGTATGTCATCCAAGATGTGGCAGAAGCAAGGGCCTCTTTCACCCTTTCCCAATTTAGATCATTCACTTATATCAAATCTACAGGTATCTCCCAGAGAGCGAGGAAATGGAACTGCAATATTTCTCTTTATGCTGGGTTAATAGCATCTTTGGATAGTGATGCACAATATAAACCAGGAAAGGGATATGAAGCCCATCAGTTAGCACCATCAAATTTTGAGTGCTCCTACAACATACATCGGGCTTGATCTACACTGCCATATACTCCACTTCAAAGTAGATAATCTGAATTAACCTCAAATATGTTTTAATGCATTTCAACTGTGAATTTTTATATTGTTGTTTCATTCTGTTTTAATGTTTGCATATTTGTCTATTTTAAATTATGTGGTCACACTTTTAATGTAAGCCGCTTTGAATCTCCTTCAGGAGAAATAAAGTGGGAAATAAATAAACATAAAACAACAACAATAATTAAAAAATTGAGCGCAAAATTGACAAGGAAAAAACATAGAAGTGGCACACAAATGGAACTTTGAAAAAGGAGACTGAGGGCCTGATTCTTGCAGCCCAAGAACAAGCCATTAGAACAAATGCCATCAATGCCAGAACTAAAAGTCAACTACAGATTCCAAGTGTAGATTCTGCAAGGAAGCAGACGAAACAATAGATCACATCCTCAGCTGCTGCAAGAAGATCGAGCAAATGGACTATAAGCAGAGGCATAATACCATTGCTCAGATGATACACCGGAACTTGTGCCACAAATACCATCTCCCTGTGACAAAAAACTGGTGGGATCACAACCTGAAAAAGTTACAGAACATGAACACCTTACACTACACTGGGACTTTCAAATTCAGACTGACAGAGTTTTGGAACACAATACTCCTGACCTCATGATCATGGGAAAAAACAAAGTATAGATCATCAATGTTGCAATCCTAGGTGGCAGCACAATTTAAGAGAAACAACTGGAAAAGCTGACATGATATGAGAATTTTAAGATCTAATTGCAAAGACTCTGGCACAAGCCAGTAAAGGTGGTCCCAGTGGTGATCAGCACACTGGGTGCAATGCCTAAAGACCTTAAAATTAATCAGTGCTGACAAAATTACCATCTGTCAGCTGCAAAAGACCACCCTACTTGGATCTGCACACATTATTCGCTGATACAACACACAGTCCTAGGCACATGGGAAGTGTCCGATGTGTGATCCAATACAACAGCCAGCATAGTGATAGTGATTAGTACATAGTATGCTCTTACTATGTACTAATCTTGTGTATCAAATAATAATAATTCAGAAACTGGATTATATGACAGTGTAGATGGGGCCAAATTTGAGGATGGGGGAGGAGGAACTGAGAAGTCTAGTTCCTGAGTAATCGTATCTCATGTGTAATGTGTATCATCTTGTAATGTGCTCTCACATTTTGACCGGTTAAATAAAACTGACCACATCAGATTGTGCACATCACCAGACTTTTTAGGGAAATAGCAGAATGTATCATTAATATCCTTACTCCTAAAAGCTATAATTCAATAATAAAATGTTTATACAGCCCCATTTTAATTTATTCCAGAAGCCTCAATGAATGAAGCCAACTTAATTAGTGCATCTCTGTTAGAAAGCAAATTCAGTGCTTTTCAAGTACTTCCAAGAATACTATTTACATAATGCATATGTACCCTGCTCAAGTAAACTGCAGCCCAGAAATGAGGGGAGGCTAATTTAAAACCAATAATGAGTCCCAAATTGAGGTCTGAGCCATGGAAACTTGTAGCCAGATCAGTTCCTGAATCCAAAGGTCATCTTCCTTGGGATTAGAAACTGAGACTTACACCAAAGGAGCCTGACATCAGCCACTCAGCAAAACTGGAGAAAGGAATACTTGTTTAAAGCTTGGTAACTCTAAATTTTCAGTGCTTTCCAAGGAATAGGTTTCCAAAATGAACAAGTGGCACAGAATCCCCTGAAATCCCAATTAAAGCTTTAAGTCATGTTCACATTTTGCGGCAGTGGCCAGAGCTGGTTTTTTGTACAAATGAGAATTTGATTACTATTTGGTGAAAAATGGGAGATTTGAAGGAAAGACAGAAAGAAAACTTTAGCGCTTCATTTAAATGACATTCAAGTTATCCAGTTGGTGGTGCTAGATAATTGTGCTAACCATGTGGATTTTTAAAACTGATATCTCTAATATAGTATGAATTGCATTAGATATAAGTATCAGTATCAATACCTTCAGAATACGTTTTAGGCTTTTACCAACAGACCTCAATGAAGGAATTGTTAGATCTTGTAATACTTGAATTATATTATATTTAATCTGTTTCTGCCCTGCATACCGGCAGCAATTAGCCCCTTCTGTGACTTAGGAGACTGAAAGAATACAAACCATCAATAATTACGAACTTGATTTTCTAAGCAGCAGAATAAGAAATTATCAAAACTTTGAGAAGTCTCATCTCCAAACATGACCTCAATCAGCTAGTGAGGATTTTAGAAGCAATCTCTTTACACCTCAAGGCAGCAAATGCAGATGTTCTAAAGTCACCTCAGCCTCCTGCCCTGGGCACTGAGATAATGCCACCATTTCAGTCTCATTAATTTCCCAATTCCTTCTGTGTTCTATCTTTCAATGTCAAAACGCAGATTGAGGTCACTGAGCAAGGAACACTTTTTACTCTCCTTAAACCACACTCCATATTTGAGTAACTATAAAATTACTACTACTTCTACTACTACCACAGGTGATCACTCGTGGCAGAGTATGGTTGTCTTCCAAGGGTAGAGTCTTGGTGGTGGTTCCATAAGTGACTGCAGAGACCGATTATCTACAGTTGGCCAGCTTTAGCACAGCAGGTTAATCACCAGCTGCAACTGCAACTGCAATAAATCTTGCCAATCGAAAGGTTGACAGTTCAAAGTGGGGTCAGAGTGAGCTCCTGACTTTCAGCCCAGCTCCCCCGCCCACCTAGCGGATCAAGAACAGCAATGTGAGTAGATGACTAGGAACCGCATTAAGCGGGGAGGTATTTTAGGCACAGCGTTTCAGAGGAAAGTTTGCAAACAAAGAAAGCTCTTCAGCAAGAAGATGGAGCGGCAGCACCCCCTGTGGCTGGAACCAAGCACAGCCTCCAAAAGATGCTGAATGGTGAGAAAAAGCCTAAAGACACCTCTATCTGTTGTCTGTTTTGCCATTGTATAATCGGCATTGAATGTTTGCCATATATGTGTGATCTACCCTGAGTCCCCTTCGGGGTAAGAAGGGAGGAATATAAGTACTGCAAATAAATAAATAATATTCAGGATCCACATGGTTTTTTACAATTAGGACATAGATTTCCAGATGGAGCAACAACAAGCCCTAATGGCTATTGGACAGACCACCAATTAATTAATTAATTAGATTCATGATGGCCATCAAGATTGCTCCCAATAACTATAATTTGTGTGTGTGTGTGCAAGAGAGAAAGTGTACAAAGAAGCAGATTGTGCTTCATCTTCTTCATTCTAGTCAGAAAAAATAAATTCTGGAGGATGTAAACTAAACAGGTGAATAAACCAACTTTGGTAAGCAGATAGCCGTATTTCATTCACTTGGGAAAAATAAAACAGACCAGTGAAGTTATCAAGATACCCGTTTGCCCAGTAACTTACTGTCCCAAATGCTCATAATGTATTATGTATTTTTGTAAATGCATCAGATCGCTTTTCTTCTCTATATGCAATTCAGCAAGCATTGTTCCTTGATACACTTATCACCTAACTGAAAATCTCCCTCCTCTTCTTCCAGCACTAGATTGTTTCTTTGTCCAAGGCCAACCTGAAAAGATTTCTGTGCTTGTCAGAACTGCTCTCTTATGTTAAAGACTTTACATTATAATGTTCAAATGGCCAAGCCCTTATTTGTAGATGATACTCTGTGTTTGGAGACTTTATTTGAATTTACTATAAAGGATTACAAAAATCATGGCTATGATTTCTATCAAATGATTTCTGTGTTAATGTGTTTTTAAATAAAAATTATGGTCGCTCAACAAGGTCTGCTATATTGACTATAGAGTTTAATTACTTTAATACAGAAGGATACATATATGTTACTATATTATGATGCAGATAGACAAAAACTTCATATATTATAAAACACATTTATTAAAACACAAGAGATATATCATTGAGATGCTTGCCTCCTTTATAGTGAATTTCACAGACATGCCAGAAGCAAAGCTTGAACAGCTACCATCAGTTTAATAAGTGACCCTTTTGAAATGTAATAGCGTGTTCTATCATACAGCAAGTTCAAGAACAATTCTCTTATTCTAGATCACACTTTAACCCATCTGACTGTGTTGTGCTGAATATTAAGATGTTAAAATAGGGACAATTACACTTGAAGGTCAGTGCACTTCTACTTCAGCTTTAAAAGAAATCATACAGCTTACCTTTGAGCCATCCAAGCTGATTATCCTATAGACATTTCTTGTGCTGTCATAGAAGTAGGACACTGTAACAGCATGCTTGCTGGTGGGAACCCAGTTCTTCTTCGTGTTAGGGTCAATCTGGAAGACATGAGCTCGGGTGCTGTAGATGGGTTGTTCCCTGAAGGGCAAAAAGTAAAAGTGATGGATCTGATGGGGACGTAGGATAGTGGTACACAGGTCATTTGGATATTCCATCCATGGGCCCCTCTGGACTTGACTCTGCATGAGTAACGTATTTGCCTCCCCCAGATTTATGTGCATGGAGTGCAATATAACTATGAAGCACATGGAAAGTACTCGCAGGAAAGAGAGGCACAAGTCCTTTAAAATAAATTGAGTGGCCAGCTGTACAGTAAGATAAAAGAGACATCTCTAAATATAGAGGCACTGCTGATCTACCACCTTCCCCTCCTCCACCGTCCATCTGTCAATCTGTTTAACAGTGGCTGTCAATAATACAAACATGGTTTTCTTTCACAGAAGGTGGCACCTCGTTATATGAATTCAACCATCTTTTTTTTAAAAAAATGCCTTCAATTGTTGAAATTCTTAATTAGCAATTAAACTCCTGTATATTTTTCTCTCCAATAGCGTATATCTTGTGGTACATTGTGGTTACTGCCTTCTTTAGCTGTATTTCACAATCAAGCTATATCAGGCGTGGGCAAACTTTGGCCCTCCCTCCAGGTGTTTTGGATTTCAACTCCCACCATTCCTAACAGCCTCTGGCCCTTTCCTTTCCCCCCTCAGCCACTTAAGCAGCTGAGGGGGGAAAGGAAGGAGCCTGAGACTGTTAGGAATGGTAGGAGTTGAAGTCCAAAACACCTGGAGGGAGGGCCAATGTTTGACCATGCCTGAGCTATATGGTATAGAAACATATGTTAAATTATTTGCTCCCATCAGCCAGACAAAACAGTCTAAAGAATGTGAACTATTTATTAACCTCAAGCAGTCTGATAATGTAATTTCTGTAGGTAGGAATATAGCATCAAAAGCTATACAATGTTTGCCTCCCTTCAATTTCTCATTCTCACTCAAGTAGATTTGTATGTTCAGTTAACAAAGACTTGTTTATACCTTCCAAATCAGTTGTCCATCGCAATGTCTATTTTACTTATTTATGATATTTATATACTGCCTTTCTCACCCCAGGGAGGCACTAGACAATTACACTGTCTAGCCGATATTGCACCACCTGACATCCGCTGGGAAGTAGCAGCCAATAGTGAAAGGACCAAGGCAGTGACATCTCCAGCTCATCCTTTGTTTGGGTATCAGCCAGCACGTCAACAACTTAAATCAAGAAATAGCTTTCTAAGATCTACAGAGACACTCGCTGGAACACCCCAGCAAGCAAGAGTCCAAAAGTGGCAGGCTCAAACCCAGAACCTCAATCAATGCCTGAGAGACTCCCCCCTGGGCACACAGAAAACTGGGCGACTTGGAAGGTGCTGAACAGACTGTGTTCTGGCACCACAAGATGCAGAGCCAATCTTAAGAAATGGGGCTACAAAGTTGAATCCTCGACATGCGAGTGTGGAGAGGAGCAAACCACTGACCACCTGCTGCAATGCAACCTGAGCCCTGCCACATGCACAATGGAGGACTTTCTTGCGGCAACACCAGAGGCACTCCAAGTGGCCAGATATTGGACAAAGGACATTTAAGCAACTACCAAGCTTGCAAACTTTGTGTTTTGTCTGTCTGTTTGTTTGTTTTGTTAAAAATGTAATACAACTGTCTGATTGCTCCTGACACAATAAATAAATAAATACCCCAGGGAGGGACAACATACTACAGTAGAGTCTTACTTATCCAGCATAAACGGGCCAGCAGAACGTTGGATAAGCAAAAATGTTGGATAATGAGGGATTAAGGAAAAGTCTATTAAACATCAAATTACATTATGATTTTACAAATTAAGCACCAAAACATCATATTTTACAACAAATTGACAGAAAAAGCAGTTTAATACACAGTAACATTATGTAGTAATTACTGTATTTACGAATTCAGTACCAAAACATCTCAATGTATTGAAACAGCTATGGATCCAGATGTGAGGCAGACTGCATTGAATAATACAGAACGTTGGATGAGCAAAGGTTGGATAAGCGAGACTCTACTGTAATGGCAAAGATTCAATGCCAACATACATGTTGACAGAAAAAATCATAATAATACAAACATCTCGCCCTTCATTCTTCTCTTTATCATGCCCAACTCATTCAACCTTTCCTTATATATTTCCTCATAACTCTTATCATCCTTGTTGCTCTTTTCTACTGCAACTTTTCTACAATCTTAAATTTTATCTTCTTTTTGCTCACTGCATCAGACTGTGGGCACGCAAGGTCCCACCTGCTCAACAACTCTATCAGAAGAGAAATTGTGTAGGGAGCACGAACCAAAGCAGCTGCTATGTGCACTTGAGTGTAGATGTGTTTTTCATATGTCTCAATCTAATACAATTTGCCCTGTCAATAAAATAAATTTATCCAGTGTGAAACGTGACAAAGAAGGGCCCACAGAAATCAACCCTGGAAAACAGGCTAGAAAGCAAGCGTAGACAAGATGCTCCTCAGTTGTTAAGGTCACTGTGACACAGGCATGCACATTATACATTTGTTTTCGCCTTTTATTTTGTTACATATTAGAAGAACTACATGGAATGCACTTAGACCTTTTTAAAAAAGCAATTCTAAAAACAAAATTTACCTGTTAAAAAAACAACATTCAGACACAAAGGGAAGATCAGAAGCAAATGAACGGGATCTAGGAATATTTGACTAGCCAGTCACATTATTTTTTAAAGGCTGCAGTTTAATTACAACTGTACTCTCCTATGCATTTCACATGAAATGCAGGAGAGGCTCGGATTTAAAACTGACTCTATTTATCTCTTTTGAGGACTTTCTTTTTTACATTAGTAGTATAGCAGAGACTGCCCTCTTGCTTCTTAACTTGGAAATAATCAGTCAACACACTCACAAATCATCCTCTATTCCTCCTTTTATTTGGAGTGCTTTTAACCTGGCTGGTTGGAAAATGGCACCCTTGAATAGAAAAATACAGCCACACAATTTCAGTAGAATCGTTTAGAAAACTGTTACTTGATCGGAGTACCCTTTTATTATTAGCATACACTGGGTATGCGGGCTTGATCCATACATTAAAAGGTATGGGGGCTTGAGCCATCTGTAGGTCATCCTTCAGGAACTGGACTCTTAAGCACTAAAGAATTCTTCATATTGTCTAGAAACTGTTGTCTATGAACATCTAGGCCAGTGGTTCCCAACCTGTGGTCCATGGACTACCAGTGGTTTGTAAGAACTAAAATATGGTCTGCAGCCTCACCATTACTACATCGTTGCAATGAGAGAGGCTGGTCTTGCAAAACCCTCTTACAATGCCAAGGCTTATTAAATATGGTTTTCTGTAGGCAAGCACATGGCAACAACTAGATGGCATATGTTCTGTATCAGAAACTAGAGCTGCTGTGCTCTATCCAATGAAATTTTTGAATCAGCACCCCAAATAACCAAACTGTATCTAAAGTTGATCCAAAACTGATTCATAACCCTTTTGGTGCTGATGTTGGAGAGTGGTCCCTGGTCAAAAAAAGGTTGGAAACCACTTATCTAGACAATGCAGATAATGTTCTAAATCAGTGATAAGATCTAAAAGAACAGTTGGAAAACAATATCCTGATTTAGATGGAAAGCAAACACAATTTTTGGCAACAATGTACTGTCAAGTCTCAAGACTACTTTATCCCAATAGAAATGAAGGTTCGTTTGATCCAACCACAAAGCGTAAAGCTCACTGGCTCTTCTGACAGAGGTAATTGCTACTAGAAAGGCACTTTTTCAGGTAAGTAGTCTTAGGTCACAAGAAACCGTGGGTTTAAAGGGTTTCTTGGTCAATTAAGAAAGCAGCACAGTAGTTTTTGGTTTAGCTGGGTGGTTGGCCCTAGGCTAGCACATATAGGTGTAAATTCTAATATTTCAAGAATAATTTTCCAAGACATTGAAAATGCCACAATGTAGCTGCCGAGTAAAACATGAGAGAGGAAATGGACAAGCCACTGAATAACAGGAAGAACAAAAAGTTCTTGAGACCAATAGCCCCTTAACATGAACCCCACAGAATGAGTTGCTTGCCCTTCTAAGGAAATGTTGGTAGTGACCCTCACTGTTGGTTGAGGAAGTAAGAATAGCCTTCCCATTTGAACACATCTTGGATCTACACATCAGTGTTGAGAGTATGATTACTTTTTCCACAGATAATCTGCCAGAGGGTCAAAAAAGGCCAGAAAGCAGGCCTGAAAAGGTTTCGTTCAAAGCCTGGAAAAATGAGTGATGGATCTGGTGGAAGCTATGAATCTGAGGATGATCTAGATGGGAATCTTATGTGTTGAGATGAATCCAGATGGAACAGTCCATGGAATCAGGACACCAACCCAGAGGCATGGGATAGTTTGTGGCTGATCTGCCCATTGCCATTTAGCAAGCGCAAAAGCAGGCTCCATGAGAGACCGATTGAGGACCATATGGAAATATGAATGTAAAGGAGTCTGAAAAGGCTCAAGGTGGAATTGGAGGATGAAAGATTGATGAATGCTATTCTCCAAGGCACTTCAAGTAGCTATCTTTTTCAGGAATTTTACTGACACAGTTTACATTTTGAAGGTATTCATTAGACCACCAAAAAAACAATGGAATCAAGCAGAGTTAGAAAATGTGAGGCAAAGTCAATCCAATAAGTCCCGTTAACACCGACAAAAAAAGGAGGGCAGAATCAAATTCAGATTAAAAACAGTCCAAGCCAAGCTGCAGGCCATTAAATGCTAATCAAGGTGGCCAATTTCAGCATTCACACTTGTCTCAAGCAGACTTCTTTCTCCCATGCTGGACATTCCACAGATATATAATCTGACTTGCCTAGTTTCCAACAGACCCCTCAACCTCTGAGGATGCCTGCCATAGATGTGGGCAAAATGTCAGGAGAGAATGCTTCTGGAACATAGCCATAAAGCCTGGAAAACTCACAGCAACCCAGTGATTCCAGCCATGAAAGCTTTTGACAACACATAGCCCAAGCCAAGTTTACTATAAA